TTGATCCCAGGCCGGCCAGGGAGAAACCCACATGGCACAGCAGAGCACTCCTGACTCGCCCCCTGCTCCCCTCAGCAGTGTATTTCAGCCGGTCTGCCTCTTTGGTTCCCTACTCTGTATCTCCCTCTCATGTGCGGGTTTCTCCTCTCTCCATGGTGCTTTCCTTTCCCTTTGTCTGTAGGTGTAACCACGGAATTTGTATCCCTGTCTCTCCAGAGACCCATGTCCTCTGGGTGTTTGAGTCAGATCCAGTGCCCCTCCTTTGCTTTCCTCCTCAAGGACTGGACTGGGGACTGGGCAAAATGTGGAGGCCTCAAGAAAGTCACAGCCCACCTCCGCCCATCCATCCTTCAAGCTCAGGGGCAAAGGTTTGTGGACACCTTTCTTCCTCTCAGAGTCCCTTTATTTTTTAAATGTGTTTGAATATAAGCCACACAAGTTTTTTTCACGGAGGCATTTCTTATTTTGAGAAAGCACCCTCCTGGTGCTTCCCCACTTCTTCCTGACCTCCTCTGGAAGCCTCCTATGCCTCCCACATTGTCATCTGTGCTGTCACCTGCTTGGGACCAGCCCCTGGCCCCTGCCCTATGACTAGGGACACCAAAGAGGCAGCTACCAGACACAATCCCAGTCCTGTGAGTGCCCACCTTCCTTCCACATTTCCAACACCTAGCTATTTGGGGTGACACTGCTCCCCTTTCCACAGTCTTGTGCTGGCCTCAACAAGCATCTGACTCTCATCCTTGATAAACCCATATGGCACACCCAGACCCCCTTATAAGGCTACAATCCCCAGAATTTAAGGAGTACTCCCCGCTTTAAACACACAGTCCCAAGATTTTTCCTGGTCCCCACCAATCATTGTAGCATAAAGGAATGTAGGGATCAGACACCCAAAATAGTATCTACTTTAAAACTATGATATCTTGAGAAGATACCTAGCTTATTGCTTGTGACCCCCAAAATAGCTCACACTAGGGTTTTGGGGGCATTTTAGCGTTTCTCTGCCATATAAAGTGGTTTAGTTCTCCGTGAGGACCAAGGTGGGGAAAGACTGGGGTGTGTGGCCATCAGAGGGCTCCCTTTACAAAGGGCCATGTGCCCCCATGACCACCACCCCTGGCATTCGGGCCACCCTTCCCTTGGATGCAGTGGGCAACTTGAGAGCAGGAACCAAGTCCTGCTCCTTGCTGTATCCCTGGCTCCGTTCAAGTTCATAGTTGTCTGGCAAGAAGTACAAGCCTGATGAAGGGCCTGTGGAGTATTGTGGGCCAAGGAGAGAGACTGAGCAGGTGACAAGGGCTTATTTGGGTACCATGGACACTGGACTCGGGTGTGTCACAGGGCAAGCTCTGCAGGATCCCCTGGAAGTCGAGCCAAGGGGAACACATGACTGCTGCTAGGAAGAGAAAAAAAAAATTGTAAAGACCCCAAGGGGGCGCATCTGCCACAATTGCACAAGTCAAGTAGCTGATTCAAAAGAAACCACTGTGGGGATATGAGGGAAGAATCCCCAGCTCTGGGGGCCCAACCCTACCCAGGGCCCAGGCTGCTGCTCCTTCTTGAACTTTGACCCTTTTCCCAGAGCCCAAATCTCCTCCTGGGACCTTTTCTGAGTGCAATGCCACAGGGAGCTTGGACCTTGACCTTCCCCAGTCTAGTTTGCATTTAGGAATCTGTAATCTATGGAGCTTGGGGCCACAGTTGCTTAAGAAGGAGTCCCTTAGGTCACACATGGCACTTCTTGGGGCGGCAGTCTAGGTATTGGGCCAGAGGCAGATGGGGCCTGATTCTGGGTAGGGGACCCTGGGGCTTGACTTGGGGAATGTACACTGCAACTACTTATTCCATGCAGTTCCTGGGCACAGCCCCCGGTGCTGGCTTGGGAAGGGCTGCTCCTCCCCAGCTACAAATCCCAGGCCGAGTAGGCCCCACCTGAGCCTCCTCAGCCTTAGGTTCTCAGGGTGTCTGAGCTTAAAGGGAGAAAAGTGGGAAATTTCCTGAAAAAGGGGGATTCAGACCCCTACCTGCCATTGGGATAACCACCTTATACCTCCTTCCCCACAGCCCCAAACAGGCCTCTCCCAAAAACCCTGAGTCTCTGGTCCTTGGATTCTCCCCTAGGAGTGAGAAGCATCAGAAGCCAGCTGAGGGGTTCCGGGAGGCCCCTTCCTTCCTCACCAGGCTTCATTTCTAATTTCCTGAAAGCACCACCTGGGTTGTGCACAAATATCATTTCACTTCCTCCTAGCTTCTCCAGAGGCCACCCCCAACTCCCCATCATCTGTCTTCTGGGTTGTCACCTTCTTGGGACCAGCCCCTGGCCCCGGCCCTATGACTGGGGACACCAACGAGGCAGCTTCAGACACAATCCCAGCCCCCTGGAAGCACCTCCCCACCCCCAGAGCCTGGATCTTTTGGGCTTCCCTGGAACCTCTTCCTTAGCCCTGTGCTGCTCTCAGGAAGTCTCTGACCCCTAGAAACCCTGTATTAACTTTGTGATTCTCCCAGCAGCCTAGAGGCGCTGCCCCCTGGACCCCGAAGGCCCCACTTATCCCTTACACCAACATCACTGCTGCTCAAGATCAGGACCCTGATAATATGGACTGTAATTTTAGACTGGAATCCTAAGTGGTGAAGAACATGTAGCTCCCCACACGAGCATGCACTATTTCCTAATTGGCACTATTCCCCTGGGATTCTTTTTTAAAGATTTATTTATTTATTTATACAAGCACTGGGTACAGTCAGAAGCGCGGGAGGATGAGAGAATTCGCCAGAGCCAGAGCGGGGAGCAGAACATGCAGACTGATGAAGTACACTGCTGAGGGGACCAGCGGGCGGCAGGAGAGGTCTGCGCACCTTGTGGGACCCTCGCGGCAGCCAGGGATCAACCAGCGTTGCAGAGGCCACGGGCGGCTTCTCAGCCCAGCGCTCAACCGCTGCGCCACCTGAGGAGGCCCTGGAATATATTTTGAATGTTCAACTTCCCCTGAGTGGGTTTACCGGTCTGTGCGTGGTGGGGGTGGGTGGGGGTGGGGGGCCGGCAGAGGCCGTGTCCCGCCAGCACAAGCCCCAGGCCCTAATTTCTGCTGTCGCCTCAGCGCGTCCATCTGCCGGTCCTCACTGGGGAGGAAGGCACTTGAATGCAGGAACTGGGCCTCGTTCATCTTTGTGCCCCCAGTGCCAAGCAAAGATCCACACATATGATAAAGCAGTGGGCTTAGGGGTGGGTGAACCCCTGAAGAAACTCCAGAGCAGAGCTGCAGCAGGAAGTCAGCAGGGGAGGGGAGTCTCCGGGCCCCACCCACCCGCGGGCCCGGCCGCTGGGCCCCTGGGAGCGGGACCGTCTTCTGTCTTCTGCCTGGGGCTGTGCCCCCAGGCTTCCTCCCAGCTCTGCTGGCCCCCACGCCGCTGGGCTTGCTCCCACCGCAGCAAGAGTTAGAGGTGCCGAGGCCCTGACAGCTCCATCCAGCTCCATCGGCCCTGACAACGCGGAGACCCATGGACTGTCTTTCAATAACCCCCTTCCCCAGGGCTCTGATTCCAGTTCCCGTTCCTATCTGCCATGGCCCTTGAGGCAGCAGTTCTGAGCCCTGAAGTACGACCTGACCTCCCTGGCGAAGGAGGGAAAAGGGGTGGTTGCTCCCCCGGGGGCTTCCAGGCAAGTCTGGCAGGGGCTCCCAGACCTGGGAGGAGGCCTGTGGCCCCTCACCTGGCTCCTCCCTGTCCTGTCTGCACCTGCCACCCTTGGGGTGGGGGAGGCGGCCTTCCTGGAGGACTCCCCCTCCCCACCCCTCCAGGCTGGGGTTTGAGGGCTTCCAGCCTGCAGCTCTGCCAACCCCGCCCCCCTGAGCTCCCCCGCCCTCAGGGCTCCCTACTGGGCGCTTAACTCCGCACCAGTGGGGGGTTCGCCTGGTCCCTGATGCCTGAGAAGCACTTTCCTCCTGGACAGGACGCCCACCTGCTAGACGCCCACCCCGCCTCCTTAGCCTGCCCCCCCCCGTGTCGTGTCCAGAGCTGCGCGTCCAGGAGGCGGGGAAAGTGGGGACCAGGAAGTAAGGAAGAGGGGGCGCTCCTGGGCCTGTCCCCCCCCCTGCCCTCTGTCCCCCCAGCCTGACCCCCTTGGGAGAGGCGGGGTCAGTCCATCGGCTTCTGCTGCTCCCACTGCCCCCCTTCAGGCCCCAAGTTCTGTTCCCTCTGCTTGTCTTCCTCACCTGCCCCTACTATGTCTCCTGTGTCTTTTGGTCTCATGTCCCCCTTTAGCGTCACCGTCCTGCTGCCCAGTGATCTTTCCACTTTCTGGCTTTCCCATCCCGCGTCCTTCCCGGTCACCTTCCCTTTGGATCCCTCCTCCTGAGCGCCTGCTCCCAGGCGCCCGCCCGCCCTCCGGTCACCAGAACCGGGGCTCAGAGGGGTCGGGCCGGGGGGGGCTCTGGGCGGACACAGACCTGCCGGCCCGGCCCCCTCAGTCGTGTTTCTGGCTGCTTCTAGGCTGCCGGGCCCGAGCTCGGCTCCGGCTCCGGGCGGTCAGCGGACGGGGTGTCCCCCGCTGCGCGGCCACTACCGGGGCCCCCTTTTTGCTTGCAAACCTGCGCTGCTCACCCCCGCGCCTTACACCTCATTTTTCAGGAACGGCACATATTTGAGCGCCATCCTTTTCCTCATTATGGACCTATGCATTGAGGAGGATGCTCGTCAGGCCCCCTCTGGGGGAGACGGGAACCCCAAGGCGCCCCTCGCTGGTCCCAGAGCCACTGCGCCCCCGGGAGCTCGTCCGCGAGTGGCCGCTGCGAGCCCCGCCCCCATGGCCGTTGCTGCCGTTGGGGCTTCCCGGGCAGCCTGGCAGGGCTGCGGATGCGCCTTGGCGCTTGGGCTGTGGAACACCCTCTTCCCCCATGTAGCTCCTGGTGCAGAACTCCCCAGCAGCCAGGGTGCTGCTTTTGTGCCATCCTGGGATGCTGGCGCCCCCGGCAGCCTGGGGTGCGGGAAGGCAGGGCATGAGGAGCTGCTTGTCTGGGGTCTCGGGGGCCGGGCTAAGTTCCTGCCAGGCTGAGATACTTTCCCTTCCTTCCAGGTGCTGCCTGGTCCCAGATGCCCCGGGCGCCCCCATTAAAGTTCCCGTTCCTGGACAGAGGACTGGCTCCTCTTAAATTGCCGATTCCTTGAGGGAAAGACATGCTGCAGGAGGCCGGTTTTATTTTGTCTTTTACTGTGAGTTATCCTCGAGTGTGTGTCCGTCAATGTGGGGTCCAGCTGGAAAGGAGGGTGGATGGCACAAAGGAATCTTCCCAATGTCCCTGAGTGTGCAGGGAAGGCCGGAGAAAGCATCTGAAAACAGCCCATGTTTCCCTAATTGCCTGGAGGGATCCTGGCCAAGGTGTGTCCCCCAGCTGGGGGAGAGCTGCTGCCAGCAGGGGCAGCCTGAGGCTGTGCAGGTACCTGAGGCTGGGCCCCAGGGCTGGTCCCAGGTGGGCTCCTGATACTGAGATGTCTTGATGCCCCTGTTTTCTCCCCCCAAACCCACCCAGCAACAGTTCCCAGAAGCCATGACATGTCCCTGCAGCTGGGGGCCTCCCAGGGTCTCTCTGGAGGCCCTCTGGGTCCTGCCTTGCCTGGGAAGGAAAGAACGTAGGTGGGCCTGCAGAGGAAGCCCCAGAAGCAGTCCTCAAGTCTCCTTTCCCGCTTTCCATTGCCTGCATCTGGCTGCTGTCTGGGTTGGGGGCGTGGGGTGGTGGGTGTGCCTAGGGGTTGAAGACTCTTGTTAGGAGGTCCTGAGTGGGTTCCCTGAGGCACTTAGGAGTCCGCCTCCCTTCTTGCCAGGAGCTGCTCCTGCCACCTCACTTGATCTTGCTTTTTCCCGAGATGACTTGTTTGTTCCCTGTAGGAAATGTGAGTCCGGGGAGACCCTTCGGCTGAGCCCACAAGGCACCATCAGCTTCTCACCTCTGGGGCCTTCTCCTCTCTGCAGCGTCCACCTTCAGAGGCTCTCCCTGGTCCTCCTTGTCCTAGGTAGTCTCCCACCCCTGAATGCCTCTTGTAGTCCCAGGTCACAGTCCATAAAAACTGTGTCCCACAGCTTCCTAATCAGCGTGGGACACAGGTTGGCCACCGTAGTGGTGCATGCTGTCCCCAGGGTGACTGGGAGGGTCTTGGCGGGCACCCCTTTCCTGGGGTGTGGTGTTGAGAGCATCTTCCTGTGGAAAAAGTTCTGCTCTGCGCTTGCTTGGTCTTTCCTTCCCTCCACCTGGATGTCTCTGTACCTTCCTACTCTGATCGTCCCTTTTCTTTTCTTCACAGAGGAGATTGGATGCCAAGTCAAGGAAGGAGCCCAGAGACTCACAGGGGAGGAAGCCATCTGAGTTTTTCGGTGCAGAACCCATTGGCTCCGGTGGTGAGGAGAGACATAATTTCACCTCCAGCAGTGCTCCTGAGTCCAGGAATTGCCACCCCACCCCAAAGATCCTCCTCTGGCCATCATTAAGGGGTGAATAGTGCCTGGCACCAGTAATTTTCCCTTTCCCCTTACCACCAGGCCCTCAACTGGAAATGGCAAATAGGGACCCCATGGGACACCCTAACTTTGTCCCCTGCCAGAGGCCTCAGCTTCCTCCCCTACTTCTGAGCTCACCCTAACAGCCCCTCCTGCTATCCAGTGGGTGAGGTCAGAGGGATGGTTTTTCACCCATATGAACTCAGAAGGGGCACCCAACTTCCTCACTCCCTGGGCCCTAGTTAACTCTCCAACTAGGCCAAGACACTGTCTCAGTTGTCCAGATGCTGGGGCCCCTGTGCTCAGCCCAAAACATGCTCAGCTTTCTGAATAAAATAATTTCAAAATGGTGTCTACAAATATTGGAACCGCCCTCCTCTAAAATTATAGCTACAGGACATGGAAGAAGCTTGGGTTGATCTTGGTGTGCTCAGGAGGAAGTATCAGCGGTGGAGGGGACCGTGGGGTGGCCACACATGTGGTCAGGTTGGGGTTCAGGGACCTCCATTTTCTCCTGTGGAGATGAGCCTGAAATTGCTGCCTCATCATTCTGTACTCCTGTATAAGTTTCTAGGGAAAAAGACTTTTAAATTTCCTTTTAGGAAAAACTTCTGTGAACTGGAGGCTACTTCTATAATAACCATTAACTTTTTCACATTGATCTGGAAGCTTACCTATAATATCTCCTATAGTTTCTATTTCATATTTGCTTCTGGAACTGTATTTTTTTTCTTACACATTTTTATCTATCTTAGCTATTTTGTTACATATGTTTTTATTAGGAAAAGTGTGCAATAAAGAGCAGAGGTTGATTGGCCTTGAGTCTCAAGGCTTGGTTTTGGGAACACATGAATTCCTGAGCCTCTGCCTGTCCCTTGAAGGCGGTACTAGAAGGCCCTGTTTCACTTCTCTCTGTAAATGAGAAGTCTTAGCAGAAATCCTTTTAAAAATTACTGTTCTTGGGCCTCCCCAGTGGCGCAGCAGTTGAGCGCTGGGTTGCGAAGCTGCCTGCAGCCTCTGCAGCTCCAGTTCGATCCCCGGCTGCTCCGCGGCCATCGGAGGAGGGTCCCACATGGCTCAAAGACCTCTCCTGCTGCCCGCTGCTCCCCTCAGCAGTGTACCTCAGTCCTTCTGCCTGTTCTGCTCCCCGCTCTGGCTCTGGTGAATTCTCTCACTCTCCCATGCTTCTGACTGTACCCAGTGCTTGTATAAATAAATAAACAAATCTTAAAAAAATGTATTTAAAAAATAAAAAAATAAAAATTACTGTTCTTAATATTTCAAAAACGTTCATCCAAATTCTAAAAACTAATTCTTAGTTTTGGTTTAGGTGAAAGTGGGTTTTAGAGAACAGGTAATAATGGGCATCATGACTTGGACATGCACAGACATGATCTGAAAAATATGGTATTTACGTAGGTTCAAAAGCTCACCAGCACTCTGACTTTTGGAAAGGCACATGGAAAATACATGTGGCTATTGCACAAGTGTTCTGTGGTAAGCACTAAGAGATCATAACAGCCACTTGATGCTGAGTTGACAGTTTACAAAGAGTTCTCAGAGAGTCACAGAGACAATTATGGGGGCTGCAAATCTCCCAGCACAGAGCTTGGCACATGCCCTTCTCCTTACTAGGACCCGTAGCCTGAGGTCTGTCTGTCAGTGCAGACAGTCACTCAGTGTGCCTTTCAATTAATGAATGGCAGTCATGATAAGCCACAATAGTATTAGACTAGTTGAATTTAGTCACTATTAGAAGTAATAGATATTTTTTTATGACTTTAGAGTTACAGATATCTCAAAATATAGTTTATGCTCTCTATGAACTCAAATTATGGTGGTTCTTTTCCATCTGAGACAAAGGTTTTCTTTGGCATCAGGTTTGGGACAAGTGTCAACACTCCTGAGATTTAAGTGTGGGCAGACCCTTTAGACCCCAGAAGCAGGCATCCTCTTGCTACGCTATCACTCCCTTTTGCTCCCCTGATCAATACTCCAGCTACAAAAAGCATCAAACATCTCAAAGACATCCCAAAGGCACAGGTCACCAAAGGCAATACAAGAAAAGCCACATATATGCAGGTTTTCCTTAGGCTGCGAGAAGCTCCTTGTAGGCCTGAGGCTTAAGACAGACTGGTGGTGATTGGGATGCTTAAAATTAGAGAGCTTGAAAAACATTTCTTTATGAAATAGCTTTTTGAGCCTCTAGAGAAAGGATTTCTAGTTCAGAGAGTGACAGTTTCTAGTTTCACCACCTGCATTTTCTCACCAAGTAGGTGAGAAAGGACAAAAATAGAAAAAAAAAAAGAGAATGATATGCAGGAAACTGAAAAATATATAATAATAATGAAAACATCTTATTAAGGCTGAAAGTAATGCGAATGCCTGGTGTTGACAAGGGTGTGGGGGAGCCAACTCGTGCTCAAAGATAGCGCAAATTGGAAAAATCTTTCTTGAGGGCAATTTGGAAATAAGCGGCAACATCCAAAAAGTTGTGCATGCCCTTTCACTTAGCAATTTTACTATCTTAAAAAAATAATCAGATATGTCTAAAGGTATATTTACACAGATTATCATCATATCATTAGTTGTAACAGTGAAATAATAGAATAAGCTGAATATATAATAAGAGGTTCAATTAAGTAACTTTGATATGAGAAATGCTGATAAGCCATTGAAAATCACGCACATGGATCTATTTCTACGCAAGAAGAGGAAACAGAGTGGAGGGGAACAACAAATCCTGTAGAAGTGCAATGTCAGATGTGGCTCGTTTGCTTTATTGTTTCTGTTTGTTTTGCATGTATACATAATTTTAAAAAGATAAAGACAAAACGAAGCACCTAACACCAAATCTCTGCTAAGTGTTCAAAATTCTCCAGCTGCCATGCTTTTAATTTGTTACCATTCTAATTAAAATGCAAATTAAATTTATAATTAGCATCAGCGTTTTCTAAAGAAACCTTTGTGTGCACTGCACAAACATATGGGCGATGCTGTAGTGTAAAGTTTGTGAAACAGAAGTAACAGCATAAAGTGGGGCATTGTGGGGTGGATTTTTCCCTTCCCTGGGAAGTAAGTTTTCTGCAGAGGCCAGTTGGCAGAAGGCAGCAGTATTTCTCAGAGGCAGGCAGAAGGGGGTGAATGTCCCGTGGTAACCAAGGATTGCTGAAGATGGCAGATCACCAGCCAGAGTGTGACTCTGTGTCGGATCAGGTGTCAAGGGTTACCCGGCTTGTCATCGGATTGTATAGGAGTTGCCAAAAGGCAAAAGGGGGTCAGAACTTCTAATCAAAAAGTCTATGGCCAAAATTAATGGCTGCTTGATTCCAGATAATTAATTTAAAAATTGATGGGGAACGAAGTGCCAAAATTACCTCATGATTCGCACATGTATCATGTTTTCAAAGTAAACTTCCAAACTTCCCCTGCAAAGCTGAGGGTGGGTGGAGAGCTGAAAGGCATGTGAACCCAAAGGGGGATGTGGTGGCTTCTGCGGCGGGGTGTTCCCAAAGTTCATCACCATCACCCTTTACACAGACATCAGTGGCTCTGGTATGTCTGTTACTTTCCTCGGAATAGGTCTGTGTTTGGTGAGGATCTCGGGGCAGAAACAGGGAGCTGACAATGGCCGTGGGGGAAGTAAAAATACCCACCATGGTCTCCATGTTTGGGTTCCAGGGAGCCTTTATGAATTTAAAAAATCAGAATTGAAATGTGTGATCCCCATGGTAATTGTCCTTGACTTTCCAGCGAGGACCCTACCTGCTTCTAAGGGTCCTTAATATTCCAGGGACTCTCCTTTATCTATTAACCAGGCTCTCCATCAAATATTTTAAAATATGAATGTAACAGAAATGAATATTTCATAGATGTGTGTTAAGCTGTTATTAAACTATAATGTAAAGCAGGATTGTAGGGATATTTTTATATGCCAAAAAGTCAATTAAAATGATAAGCCTGTAGGGCCTCCCCGGTGGCGCAGCGGTTGAGCGCTGGGTTGCGAAGCTGCCCGCGGCCTCTGCGGTGCCGGTTCGATCCCCAGCTGCTCCCCGGCCACCAGAGGAGGGTCCCACATGGCGCGCAGACCTCTCCTGTCGCCTGCTGCTCCCCTCAGCAGTGTACTTTGGTCCTTCTGCCTGCTCTGCTCCCCGCTCTGGCTCTGGTGAATTCTCTCACCCTCCCGCGCTTCTGACTGTACCCAGTGCATGTATAAACAAAAACGAACAAACAAACAAATAAATAAATAAAACGTGCCTCTACAAAAAAAAAAATGATAAGCCTGTAATATTACCATTGTGGAGCCCTACAAAACTTCATTTCATATGCAAGGGAGTGCCCTCCCCACTACCCCCTCCCCTGCCCCAGCACTGGGTGGTAGGCAGGCCTGTCACATATTCAGAGGCCTGTGTGCTTCCATCTCATTAGTAACACATAGGTCCATTTTCGGCAGAGATTAAATGGAGAGCAGTGGTGGATAAAGCTTACCTGACTTGATTTTTATTTAGTCTCTCAAAAAACCAGCATCAGGTGTTCTTCAAGGTAGGCACTTTCCTCAAACGCACAATGGAATCATTGGAGATAAATGTCAATCCCCAGGAGAGTGTCGTGTTTGGACTATAATCTCTAGAGAGCAGGTCACCATTGTCTTGAATAAAGGCCACATGGTGACTTTTGGTGAAAAATCTCCCACAAAACTGAAGTTGGAGAAGAAAGTTAAAAATGCTGTGGGTCATGTAAAAATAGCACTTTCAAAAAGACAGATTCCTACGAGAAGGCTTGAAACTAAAAATAAGCTTTTTGAAAATAAAAAATAAGCTTTTTGTAGGGGAGGATTTTCAAGTTGGGCTTGTATCCTTTGGAGGGAATGTTTACAAATATGACTGGTCGAATGGATCACTTCACCATGCTTTACAAACAGTGAAATGCAGTCCCGAACTTCCTCTGATCATCA